GAGGGAGAGGACAAAAGGGAGAGTCAAAGAAAAGCGTGATAAGTAAATAACAGAGTTGAAAATGAAGCTGGGAGGGCAGAGGAAACAAGGAATGACGAAGATTTGATTCAGAGGAAGGAGAGGCGGAAGGACGCCTATCTTGGTGTTTCATTCATTTGTTGTGGTGCTGCTCAGCTAATGTCATCAGGTCTGTCTGAAACCACAGTGTGTTCCTGATTATGAAGAAGATAGATATGTCTCAGTTCATATCCTGGTCTTGTATTTTGTCACTAGAATGAGTGAATGAATAAGATTATGGAGACAAGGACCTGTTAGCTGACTACAGACACTGAAACAAGGTGATGACCTGTATGCATTAAAGCAGATATATCTGCACTTAACATTGACTCATATCATGAAACAAAATTAAGCATGATACAGAGTTAACCATGATTATTATTACCACAGTTTTATTATGTATTATGTTTAATTTTGTTTCACACACATGGTTTATTTCACAATACAAAATGGAAAACTAAAGTTGAAATTGGAGCTCAAAGTTTGGTAGTTAAGTATAATGTAAAATCTGACAAAATGATAATTAAAAATAGAAGGCAGTGTATTTAAACAGCAATATATATAAACTAAGCAACCTACATTTTGTTGTTTGAAAGACAACAAATTACAGAACAAAAAATGTATATCATTCCAAATTTCATGATAATTAAAAAACTGAAAAATATTATGCCATTTTATTTGTGCTCATCTAAACTAAACAGCAGTCATGTGTGTAAGGGTAAATGATGGTGTAATACAATCATATTACAGTGCTGAAATTCAGCATATCTTAATTTTCCAGTTTTGCTCTTTTTTTTTGCTATTTTAATGAAGTCTTATTAATAATTAGCTATCTGTCATTACTCAAATAATCAAGCTGATGTGGCTCTGTGAGGGTTTTTGCTGATGTGTTATGTCTTTCAAAATGCACAGGGACAGAAAACAGCACTGAATCCATGTGTTTGCCTCTAGATGAGCAGGAAAAGTCATACAAACAACAGAAACTGAGCCGTTCCTTTAAACTCACTGGGATGCATATTAGTGTATTCAATGTATGTGCAGCTGTTCACTTGTCATTTTCAGTTAAAGAGGTTCATTCAATGTTGTGCTGTATGTTTATACCCAACAATCTGCACACATTTCTTCCTCTCATTCTTTTTGTTGTGATTAACTCAGCAGATCTGAAGCAGGGGCCAGACCGGGATGAGACCCCTCCTCGCACCCCAACAGGCAACGCCCCTTCCTCAGAGTCAGATATCGAGGTTTCGAGCCCCAGCAATGACCTCGTGTCTTCTAGCAACAATACTGTGGTTTCACAGGAGGAGGATGAGAGATTGGCCAAAGAGCTGTCACTCAAAGAGGCCGCCGCCCACGACTTGTCCCACCGACCCAAACGACGACGCTTCCACGAGAGTTACAACTTCAACATGAAGTGTCCCACTCCTGGGTGCAACTCACTGGGTGAGGGCACAAACACTGCAGTGCTTTTCATTGGATTAGCTGTCCTGCTCTTATTGACGGACTCTGAGCTTTCTGTCTGTCTCTGTCTTGCTGGCACTCTCTTCTTTACTGTTTCTCTCAGGTCATCTAACAGGGAGACACGAGAGACATTTTTCCATATCAGGATGTCCTCTCTACCACAACCTTTCTGCTGATGAATGCAAGGTACAAACACAGATTTATCAAAAGGGATTCCAGGTTAAGGAATCAGTTTGAAATCATAAGGCTGTGTGCTACTTTTACTTAGTTCCTGGCAACAATCTTCCACATTGAAGTAGTTCTTTTATCTACCTTTTAGCTAATGTAATATTACTCATTAGTGAAACTAGGATTGCATTTTGCCTACATCTCTGCCTTCAATCTAGAACCAAATGTCCAGTGGATGAAAGTGAAGGAAACCAGCAGAGTCAAATTGAAATTGTCACTCTGCAAAGCCTCCAGGAACATGGAGGTGGTTGCTATAATGTGTCTTCTACCAGGCTGGTTGAGACAGTGTTGATGTTTTTTCAGGGCAAGGCTTCGACGCGTGACAAACAAACCGAGGAAAGGACGCTGTCACACCGTCACGAGGAGAGCAGACACTCCACAAGAAGCCAGGTAATGTGCAAACACATAAGTTCATCAGAAAAGCGTAACACACAGTGGTGCATGCTAACAGTAAAACCAGGCAGATAAATGTACACATCTACTGTCTTTCTGTGGGGTGTTTCTCTTTATCTACGGAACTCAGCAAGTGAATTCAGGTGGAGGCTGTGACCCTTCCTTGACTTCACCTGTCCAGTTCACTTCATTGTGAACTTAAGGTGTGTTTGTGTATGTGGCTGTGTGTATGACGGTTAGGCTTAAAGCTGTAACATGTCAGGTCAGAGATCAGACTGTGTTTCCTCAGTCTAGCAGGGCCACAGGTAGCGAGATGACGGGCTGCTGTAGGTTGAGTACCAGTAACTGTGGCATGATTCTTCCTCTGATGTAATTAATTAGTGTACTTCATTTGACAGTGGTAATGCACATTGATCAACAGAGTAAAGGCTCTAAATGAGTCAGTTTTTCTGTTGTAGCTGCCCAGATGTTTAAAAAAATGACTAAAACAGAATAAAATGACTTATTTTATAAATACACTACTGCATTGAAATTATACATCAGAAATATTCAAAAATTGTTTGCACCTTGTTTGATAATATATGAAATAAGGTTCAGATGATCTTTCATAACGCTCTTTGTGTTCATTGAGTTTCTAACAAATCGAAAATTATTCAAAACAATCCCAGCTCTTTTGTTTATATTTTCACATGGAAATAAATACAGATTAATATTGACCCAGATACTTAAACTCAGACACGACATGCCTTGATAACATTATATCTGATAGCAACGGTTTTGAGCCACCAAATTTTAACTTAAGTTAACAATGGTCCAGTTTGCATTCACATCGCTGTTTGTGTACGATGTGCATGGATCATTTTATGACCTGCATATGGGTGGAATATCTACAGACAGAAGGCAAATCATTTGTAAACAGGCTAATAAACATGGTCCGTATATAGACTCCTGTGGGACGCCAGTGCAGGTTTTAAAAGTGGTGGGTTTATGAATATGAACCTTCACATTTTGTGTACAGTTTTCAATTTCATCAAGCAGTGAAAAAATATAAATTTTAGTGTTAATGGAAGTTAATATCACCCAGCAGGGCATTATTTTCTTTCTTTATTTTTATCAGACATTTAAATTGAAGGTAGTGATTTATTTGTTTATTTACTGGGTTCTACTGCTGTCACTTCTCAAAAGAGAAATTGATGAAAATGCAAGTGCAAAATCTTCTGTGTTGAAGTGTTTGTCTGTGCGTGGTCTCAGGCCCCGACAGAACGTCAGCTGCGCTACAAGGAGAAGGTGACGGAGCTCCGAAGGAAGAGGAACTCTGGTCTCAATAAGGAACAGAAGGAAAAGTACATGGTGAGTGGGTGAGAAGTGCATGTGTTTGTGTGAATCACATGAGAAAATGCATTTAGAGTATTTTGAAAGTCTCTTATTTCCTTCTCTGATGCCACCTCAACTGCCAGGAACACCGTCAAAGCCACGGGACGAGCCGGGAGCCTCTGCTGGAGAACATCACCAGTGACTACGACCTCGAGCTGTTCAGGAAAGCGCAGGCACGTGCTTCGGAGGACCTTGTAAGAGAGAAAACTCATCACCATCTCCCTCCCTTACTCCTGTCTCCTTCCCTTTCCTTTTTGTCCTCCCTTTTGTGGCTTACTCCTCTTCTTCTCTGTTTCAGTCCGCAAACCCTCCTCTGCAGCTGCAGGAGGCAGCTGAGATATTTTTGGTAGTTTGGACAATCAATCCCTGTTACTCTGTATTTGTTTTTTCTTACATTGTGAGCCATTCAAATGGCAATGCATTTTCAACCAGGCTTCCTTTAAATGATCACATACCCTAGATAGTTTTTGTTTTGTTTTTGTCTGCATGTTTTAGCTTGTTAAGTACAAATAGCATAAATTTATCCACTGCCTCAAATTGCCCTAAGCAAACAGAACATTTAGATTTATTACAGGTTTGTCAAGCAGCTACTGGTTTGTATTTCACTACAAAAAACACAAGGCCAAAAAACTTAGGATTGGCAGTTTGTCAAATTTTCAACAGTTTATTTGTCAAAGTTCTTACAATTGCTTAAATTGTTGATATCATTTAACTCTTAAATTCAGTTCAGAAATTTTGAAAATACTATAGTATGAAAACTTATTTTCACAGACATCTAGGTTTTGTCATGATTTTGTCGTAACTTTAATGGCAAAATTTCTCTGAAAAGGTTTCAATAATCATTGCAAACGAATATTTTCTGAAATTAGTTTCAAACCTTCATATTAAGCCTTTTCCTATGTGTTCCTCATCCTAATTTTTCTTCCTCTACATCTTTTTTTCTTTATTTTTTTTCACATTATTATACTTTCTCTGACTAGTTACCTCCACTGAGGTTTACATAAATCTGATTTTTGACTTGCCTAATCCTCTTCCCTAAGTAATTGAGATCTCTTTCTCTTTGTCCTCTCTCCCCTCTGATTTTTTGCCTGCCCTCTCTTGTCACCCTCTTCATACCTTTTTACTTCCTTTCCCCGATTCTCCGTCCCTCCTGTCCTGGCCGTTACAGGAGAAGCTCCGTCTGGCCGGCCAAGTGTCGGAAGGCAGCAACATGATAAAGACCATTGTGTTTGGTCGCTACGAGCTTGACACCTGGTACCACTCTCCATACCCCGAGGAGTACGCCCGCCTAGGGAGGCTCTACATGTGCGAGTTCTGCCTTAAGTATATGAAGAGCCAGACCATTCTGCGCAGGCACATGGTGAGGCAACCTTTTCAATGTTTAGATCTGAAGGTCCTCAAAAAGTTAAAGAATGGCTGTTTCTGAAATCGCTCACCATTTACTATATAGAGCTCTACAGTTACACTTCATCATTTTATTTGTGTTTGAATTCTAAGTGGGGAAACATTTTCTTTATATAGTGTTTCAAAAATTTCCACAGTGGATTAAAAAACGTCTCCACGGCATCTGCACTGTTCACACGTCAGTGTGTCACCTTTTATAGATGCAAAAGGTACCACTGAGCAATACTAGGTCTGTAAGCAGTGCTGCAAGATGAAATCAAAATTTACTCAAATTGTCAATTTATACCACTGGTATTTAGTATCTTCACTAATAGTGCCTGTTGTATAGGGAGAATTGAATGTATCCACTAGAGTAAATGCTGCAATAAAAATACATGGCCCATTTCTTCATACATATTTACCTATTTATTTAGTGAGCTAGAGAATGAGTAAATGCAGGTGAATGTGATGAATTGTGTAGTTTTTAATGCAGGTCTCTCATTTATTTCTCCCGACAAGTTCAGCTTTTCTTTCCGAAATTGCACACTGCACTTTCGCTGTCTCAGTCAAGAAAATTAATGAATCATTTTGCTGGTGTTTGTTGGTTTACTCACAGCATAACTCCAAAAAGCAATTAATAAACTTTGATTAAACCTTTTGGAGAGATAGGATACAGCCCATGGAACTGCCCATCTGCTTTTAGTACTAATCTGGATCATTTCCATCCAGGAATTTTTTTAAGGGATTCCTCACCATTGTGAGATAGGGCCAGTATCACTGTTTTTGCTTCCATACATACTGCCTTCAATGCTTGGACAAAAATCCAAATAAGATCTTCCACACACCAAAGTCTGACCTAGATCCAATTAATATCCCACTTGTGGTGATCCAGAATGTTCCAGTTTATAGGGCTCACAGAAAACTCACTACTGTGAGTTAACGAGTTTGATGTATCTTCAGCAGTCGCTGCACTAGATCCTGACGACAACCGCCATTACCGAAATATCGCTTTCTTGAGTAACTTTCAAACTAATAATGATATTAATATGATTTCAAATGCTAGCAGTAGGTTTTCATTGTCAAGGAATCACATTATCATGGGGTCAAACGATCATGGAAATACTCATGGGAACAGTGATCTGCCTTGGTGGAGGTTTGCAGGGCTTTTCACCAAACCAGTGCTCTGCTGACCCCAATGGTTTGGAAGTGGGAACAGTGAAACAGATGTTTGACCACAACAGCATGTGACGTACACAGTGGCAGTGTTTGCTGTGAAGTATTTCAAAGAAATCATCAATAAGAATGATACATTGGGATTAATTTGTATATAAACTGACCTCTGCTGCCGCTTTCTCATGTTTTTCTGTTACATAAAGGCCAAATGTGTTTGGAAGCATCCTCCAGGGGATGAGATCTACAGGAAGGGGAACATTTCTGTATTTGAGGTGGATGGAAAGAAGAACAAGGTGAGAAAATGCTGCACAACTTGCTCTGACCTTCCTTCAGAAGTTCTAGGAATCAATGGACTTCATGCAAAAACTCAGTCTGATCCTAAACCTCACCCTCTTCTTCTGTGATGCTCTCTTGGATGAGTGAACCAAGTTGGATTTAGCAGTATGTGACTCTGTAGGGTGCAGTAAGGATGTTCCCCTGACCATTAGGTGGCTGTCTAGTGAGACCTCTCCCAGGAAATACTGAACTGTATAATTTGCAGTGCCAAAATATGATGATATGGTGAGCATAATGTTAGTTATACATTAATCAAGCCTGGACCGTCTGTGAATGTCACTTGAACCTAAGAGAAAATTGCAACTGAGGTCTTTACACGACGGCCTTATGACATCTGAGCTTTTTTAACCAGTTTTGCCTTGAAATGTAAGGCTCCTGAAACTCTTTTGGGAACTGTCTGCGTGAGAGTAACTAGCTGTTTTACACAAAGACAGCTGTTAAAGGGATGGTTACCTACTGTACTCAGCAAGTAATCGAACAGTCTGACAAGAAAACACAACATGGTTCACCTGTTTTATCAGCACAAAATGAACACATCCCAGTAAGCTTCAATACATTCTAATGTCTCCGATGCTCTTCCTCACAGATTTACTGTCAGAACCTGTGTTTGCTGGCGAAACTCTTCCTAGACCACAAGACTCTGTATTACGATGTTGAGCCTTTTCTCTTCTACGTCATGACCGAAGCTGACAACACAGGGTGCCACCTAGTAGGATACTTCTCCAAGGTGACTGGGTAGCCTGTTTTTTCCAATATAGAGTTTTCCAGATATCCCCCCCCAAATTGCTTGCTGATATGAAGTGTATGTCTTATAATGAATTGTTTACAAACATTAGCTTCTTTACCTTAAAATATGTCCTCTTAAGGTGTGTTCACATTACAGCAGAAAACGGGGGGTCTTAGCCTGTGTGTTCTATGCTGGTCAGCACAGAATTTCTCTGGCTCAAAATGACTCTTTCTGAGCTACAATGCTAATGTTGCTAGCAGTAGATCACTATGTTTTAGAAACTCACACTGTTTTTATGCAGTCTTCATAGCGGTGCTTGCATGCTTATATTTTGCAAGTACGTTTTCTGTCTTTATCAGATCTTGATACGGGGATCATTATGTTATTGTACAGTTTAAGAAATTCAGAAATATATGCTACATACTGTAAACTGGGATACTATGAGTATAGGTGAATCCGGGCCGAGATAGAGCACACGTAGGCTAACTAGTTTCACGCCAGTTCAAGCAGTGGTCAACAATGATTGGCTCCGTGGACAAAAGTCAGTGCAACCAAGGTCAAAATTCAGCAGATTTGAACTTTTGGTACACCCCTGCTTCGTGTTGCTCACCACAGATGTCTACGCAGAGACTGCGCAGCACACTACATACACAACAACAGTGAGATGTGCATAAAAAACATTTTTCTGCAGTAATGTGAATACACCATTAGTGCTGATGTCAACCCTGAAAGACATTATCCATAAAACTGTGGATTTATTCTCCTTCTGCAGGAGAAGAACTCTTTCCTGAACTACAATGTTTCCTGCATCCTCACTATGCCACAGTACATGAGGCAGGGCTATGGCAAGATGCTCATAGACTTCAGTGAGTACCCAGTGTGTGTAGTCATCTTTGTTTGTGTGTGTTTTTTGTCTCCTGCATTTTACTACCGTACACAATGGGCAAGGATTTTGCACAGCGTAATAACAGCAGATTTAGGAGGCTGTCTGCTGCGCTTGCTCTTCTGAGAAAAACCCTGCACACACACATGATTTGGTTATTACACTCATTGCTTATTTCCATTTTTGCAGCAGGGGAAGAAAGAAGAGTAAAGCCAACAAAACACCATCTGATTTGTCCTTTCAGGTTACTTGTTGTCCAAGGTAGAGGAGAAGGTGGGTTCACCTGAGCGGCCCTTGTCTGACTTGGGCCTTATCAGCTACCGGAGTTACTGGAAAGAGGTGCTGTTGCGCTACCTGTACAACTTTCAGGGCAAGGAGATCTCCATCAAAGGTCAGAACTGGACCACACTGTCCAAAATTGTGGGAAGAGATGGGAAGGGTGGGTGGTGGTGGGTCAAGATCTTTGAGTCATGATTCCCACTTTCATTTTTTGAAGTGAAAACTAATAGCAGCTCAGTTTGATTATGGTTGCTGACCACATAATTAAAAAGAAGTAGAACCTGTAATATAAACTGTGTATTGTCAGGAAGGAATTTGAAAGCCTGAATAGGTTCATCTATCCATCCATCTATTTTCATCCGCTTATCTGGGCTTGGGCCATCTTGGGGGCACTCCAAGGCATCCCTGGGTTAAATGAGACATACTGTATGATCTCTTCAGTATGTTCTGGGTCTACCCCAGGGCCTCCTGCCAATTGGATGTGCACCAAAAACCTCCAGTGGGAGGCATCCTAATCAGATGCATGACCCATCGTAAGTGACTTATTTCGATGTGAAGGAGCAGTGGCTCTACTACAAGCTCCCTACAGAACATCTCACCCTGTTCTCTAAGGCCCAGTCCAGGTACGCTACAACGCTACAGAGGAAGCTCATTTCAGCTGCTTGTTTTTGCGATTGCATTTGTTTGGTCACTACCCAAAGGTTGGAACATAGATAAATTTGTAAATTGAAAGCTCTGCCTTCCAACTCAGCTCCCTGTTCCCCTCAATGGTCCTATACAACATTTGCATTACTGCAGGCACTGCACCAAACCATCTGTCAATCTCATGCTCTATTCTTGACTCCCTGATGGTCTAGTGGCTAGGATTCAGCACTCTCACCGCTGCGGCCCAGGTTCCCATTTAATGTTTAATCTTGGGTACCTCTAAATTAGCTTTGCACCCATCAACAAGAGGATAGTTCATGAATGCACACAACTCCTGCTGCCAGAGTTGTGTCTAAATCTGTTTTCCCATCGAGATGTGTTTCCCCTGACCTGAATCCTAACATTATCCTAACCACAGCCACTGAGGGGTGCATGGCACCGGTGGATGTCAAACAAGCCCTCATGAACGCAAAACTGTCTGGAGAGTATGACCATTCAATTAAATCCATAAACTATCATGTAAGACTTTTCATTGTTGGAAAAAAAAAAGTCTTGTGAGTGAGACTGCAAGATGTGTATAAACGAGGTTGCCTCTGGATAGAAGTACTGGAACTTCATTTTTTGAGCTTAGGTCACGTCTAAGATGATAAATTACCTGTGTAACATAAGATAAGTCGGAAAACTTTTTTAAGGTTTTATACAAATGTGTAACATAAGATAAGTTGGAAAACTTTTTTAAGGTTTTATACAAAAACAGACCATGCTTTCAGTAGCACTAATTATATATCACTGTATGCACTGTAAAGTTTTTAATAGCTGACTACCACAGCTGACTAAGACACAATATTTCACAAATAACTGATTCACTGCAATTCAGAAACCTTTCTGTCACAATAAATAAAGAGGTAGAGAAAGCACCGAATATTTAAATGTCATTAGTGTCACAACAGTAACTACAACTGTGTGACAAAATGTGAGAAAACATTCAAAATGTCTTCTTACTGCACTCAGTGATTGGACCGCTGTGCCTCTGCCATTATCTGCCAGGCCTATAGAGATTAGTTAACACATGACATTGTACAAAGTGGTTTTTTGTCATCATACAAAAGCCTTTTGATTAGTTCTAACTATACTTTAGCTACATTTTATGGTGTCAAATGGTTTTTCAGTTGCATAGAAACAGCACAAGCTACAACAATGGTGTAGCTGTTTAGCAAAGGCAAATCACAATTCTGCCTGTAATTTGTGAATTATTTATTTTTTTCATTTGTTTAATGTTACTGCGAATATTTAGCGTCATTGAAAAATGATCCGTGCTTGAAGTTTGTAACTGAACACAGTGAGAGTCTTCGCTATCATGAACTCTAACATTGCATTGCATTAACAATATAAACCATTCAAAAAGTCAAACTGGACCACTGTGTAATTTCATGAATATTTTAGAGCTTTATGTTTGTTTTGTAATTGTAGCAACTTGTTGTTTTGTAATGCTAGTTGTTAGTCGTGCTAACGGCCTGGAAGCGGTTTGTTCACTTTGGTCCCAAGTGAAATATTCCCACAACTATGGGGTGGATTGCCATGAAATTTGGTTTTGGACATTCATGTCTCCCATAGGGTGAGTTGTAATATCGTTGTTCATCTTTAACTTTTTTACACCTTGGTTTTTGTGTGGATTAAACAAACAAGATATAACATGTTAATTAGTGAGTGCTAGAGATGCTGGCAGACAGTTGTTAGTCAGACTTTACCCTAAGCCAGTCTCATCAGCTTCTGGCAGTACTCTTACAGTGTGTTCACACATATGGATATAAACTAGTTGGCAGTGTCTAGTCTCTTATCAGTCTGTAGTTCTGGGGTGGTGGTGTGTTGATTATGTAATTTACATACTCGGCTCAAACTGGCTGGTTGACTTCTGACAGGTCTCATTTAGACTGCCGACATTGGCCCAGCTTTTTGAATCTGTATGTGTGAACAGCCCATTAGTCTTCTCAATCAGACAATCCTGTTGCCATCACCTCGAAATTTTTGTCCCGCTCTTGTGTTCACAGAGATCAGTCAGGAGACAGCAGTGAACCCAGTGGATATTGTTAGTACACTGCAGTCCCTCCAGATGCTCAAATACTGGAAGGGAAAGCACCTGGTTTTAAAGAGACAGGTAGGAAACAAGAGGATCATATTTACAAGTCAGAGTTTCCTTCATGCCGGTTACTACAGTATGTATCAGCCTAGTTTTGGTCAAAGTTAATACATTCCAGCATTATTACATGCGTGTAGCTCTTCATTAGAGTACTCAGCTAAGGTGCTTTTTCTACCCGTAGGACCTTATTGATGACTGGAAGGCCAAGGAAACCAAACGTGGTAACGGAAAGACCATTGATCCCACAGCCTTAAAATGGACACCACCTAAAGGGACATAGAGGAGCTTCCTGTCACACTCCCAAACACCACAACACACTCAAACACAGTCAGAGCCTCCTCTATACACTGGCATGCTCACATACCCTGAGCCTCACACATGCACAGAATGCTTTCAGCAGCCACAGCACAGTTAATAAGAGAGTCAGCCATTACTCTGGGTTTAAGTAGTCACTGTTATGGCTTAGGCAGTTAACTCCAGTCCAACAAATATGAAACATGAAGCAGATACAGTATGTTCTTGTATTCAGTTATTTCGGTTGGCATGTGTGGTTGGTTTGTAAGATCTCGTGCTGCCAACTGTAACCAAACGAGGACCTCCTACATTTAACCTTGTACATGGGAACAATGACAAATGTGTATCAGACCTGAACATGAAAAATAATAGTCAATTAATTGGAATGAACAGGTAAAAAAAAAAAGTATTATAACACATTATTATAACAACTACACATGTTCTTGAGCTAAGCTAATTGTAACAAAGGAGTTACGGTTCGGATGTATTTGAAGCAATATGTAATGTATATGAAGAAAAACTAGTCTGCAGCCTAGTGGCCATATTTAGGTCACACATGTAGATGAGTGTATGTCAATAGCTAACACTTATTTAAATCAAAGTGATAAATAATCTGGCCTTTTTACATTTTATTCTTTAGGTTTTCTTTATAGATGTGTTGACTCAGTAACAATGTACGGAGCTCCAAAACTATTCAACATTAAATAAATTAATCATATAAATAAACTGAGTGATGTATAAAAAATGAAACAATAATAACTTGCATAATTATCAGATTTTATGAGATTTATAGAAGTTTTTTGTTTCAGAATAGATTTTTAAATAAAAATGTTGGGGTGAAAATATATGAAATAAGAATTATATTCAGTAAATTTAAAATGTTATGAGTTAAATAACATTTCATTATAATGGAGTTCTGTTTTTGCCCACTTATATTGGGCACAATTTATACTGAAGATCATTTATCTTATGTCTCTTTATTTTATTTCATATGTAACACTTTGGGGGTTCATAGAAGACAAGTTGATATTCACTGTTTATAGTTAGTTTTCTAATTTTGGCTCTAGGCTTCGGCTAAGATGCATTCTGTACAGTACAACATGCTGTAGGACTGTAAATGCACTGGCTGGGGGGGGAGCCAACTTAACGTAGGATGGGAGCTGATGTTTCCTCAACCGCATTTGTCATCTGAAAAGTGAAAGTAATTGTGCAACGTTAGCGCACGTCCCCGTGGACACTTAATTAGCGCAGCACACCAGGCATGCCCTCTAATCCAATCTGCAACAGCCGGTATTGAACCTGTGCTGCATTTCATCCTGTTGTCGTGACGGAACACAGGGTAGCAGCACACTGACTCATGCGGAGTGTTTTGGCAGACACACAACACCTGGCTGTGATTAAACAAGACAAAGCACAGCCCCAGAGTGCCCTGACCTCAGTGTAGCACCCAGGCTAAACAGAGAGCTGGAAAAGGTAAAGAAAAAATATTGATGTTCAATAATTCTCACAACTAAGAAATCACCTAATAGTTACAAAAATTGGCATGTACACAAAACTGTAAAGACTGGACAGAGCTGCAGAGGAATGAGGCGTCACACCGGCTCAAGTTTGTGCAGTTTTTGTCTGGGTTATGTGCATTGGTTGGAAAAAGTAGGAAGGGTTAAGATGTTCTCAGGTCAAGTCTTTAAACTTTTTAAAGATTCTGTTTTTGTGTGGGAAAGCAAAGTAGACCCAGGCCAAACAGTGGCTGACTGAACCCAGAGCATTTCACTAGCTTCAAGTTCTCACACACACAGACACACACACTGTGTCCAGTATTTAGTCTATCTCACCAGTCGCAAGTTGAACGGGAAGCTATAGCTGCCATTGGCCATTGTTGGACCGTACTGTGTCACTGGTACAGTGTAGGACCTTTTATGCCCCACCCCACCTTTTTTTTGTTTTTGTTTTTGTTTTTGTTTTTAAACTAAACCTTGTATCTCGTTGCCGGCTGTGTTACTTCATGATGTCTTCATTTACATTCTGACCCCTGAAGGCACTTGGCTGTTAGCGGTGTGGGAGCTTGCAAACATGTTGCTCTGCCTTCTGTGTGCTTTGTGTTGGTTTTGTTAAAGCTCAATGATATTTTATACTCTTTCTACCTCTGAGGTTTTATCACTGTATAAAAGCTAGAATGGCCCATTTTAAGCTTCTTTTGTTTTCTTTTTTATCTTGTGTTAACATGAAAATATGTAGCTGTGTTTGACCAGCAATTTTTATTTTATTTTATTTTATTTTACTATTTTTTTTTTCTAAGTGTTATTTATATTGTTAAAAAGGATGTGTTAACTGTGTAGAATGTAAAAGACAAGTCTGGTAGAAGAACGTCTACTCTATAGGACCAGCTTCTTTGTTAATATGAATATTTAGACAATTTTATGTAGATTTGAATGTGTTTAGAAAGTCTTGACAGGTACAGGAGGGAGAATTCAGGGCATCCACCACTACCACAAACATTTCATAGGTTTCCCTCCTGTTATCAAAAGTGACATGATTGAATTAAACCTGTCACTTTTTCACATCTTCGCTACTTGTTCCCACCATGGCTGTTGTCATAAACACAACCTTTATGTGTTACACCAGAAAGCACGGTCACCAGCATTTTCATAATACTTCTTGTTCTCTGTGGTTCCCTGTGTTTGATTGAAAAGCTGTTTTATTTTAGTGACAATCACCATATTTATTGATTTACATCAACCTGTTAATCTTTGTAACCAGATTTATTTCAAGAATAGACTTTTTGGAAATATATTTATTCACTTTCTTGCTGAGATCGACTTCAGTCATATCTGTACTATAAATATACAACCAGTTAGCGTGTTAAGTGCTAGCCTGACTCTCCTGTAAAGCAACTAATTGTCACTTTTAATAATTTAACTTTTGGTTTGATCAATCAAACAAGATATAGTCTGTTTATCATTGACCTTAGGATAGAGCAGTGCTAGTTTCCTCATTTGGAACAGAGTATTGGCGGTAGCTACATTTACATTTCAAAGTATGAGAGACGTATCCATCCTGTTATCAAATTTTCAGCGTATTTTCCACAAAGCCCAGCTGTTCCTTTAAACATAGTACATAAGCTCAGACAGCAGTTGGCTGCGAAATCGGAGGTGTGTGGCCAACAGTGTCAGGTTGAATCAACTTTTCTCCAGAATGCTGTTTTGTTATGGAGTGTTTGTGACCCAGGTTCAAATGTGGAGGGATCATTTTCTTTCACAATCTATAGCCTAAAGTTACATTTGTTTTTCTTATGTTGTGATATAACAAATTATGCCTTTAAGCTACATGGTGTTGAGGATGTTTATATGTGTCTTATGTTTTTATATTTTCCCAAGTCCCATGATTGTTGTTGTTGTTGTCTTCATTGGGGTCTTACGTGAGGGACTTCAGGTGACACAACTAACAAACGTAAAATCAGTACCGACAGTTTTTGCACCATTTATCCTTTTAGCACCTGCTCTCAATAAACCACTCTTAAATGTGCTACTGACCAAAATTTCTTATAATTGTTCCGAGTCGAGGAAAATGCACTTACTTTTGACAGGAAGCACGATTCCTTAAATGATGATCTATATATAACTGGGGCAGTTTTGTTCGTGAGCGTTGTGTTTTTGCTGTGATCGGGTTGCAGTTATATTTGCATAGGTACGATGGGGTGATTTGAATGATCAGTAGTTTTGGTTTCAGTGCCTCTAACTGACATACAGGGAGAATTAATCACAGCAGCAGAAAATGGATGGTAAAATTTTTCTTTCTTGACTGGAAAAGGCTCAGTATAACCATAAAATCACCTAGTACGAATTGAGCATCACAAACCAGTCATATCCATCCCTTTGAAAGTATCTCCAAGTCATTTCTCTGCCTGTATGACGAGCCTCTTTTTGCCTTGACAGTCCATTTTTATTTCTCTAATTTCTTTTCCGTGCTGTTGTCGTGCCCGTTTCCGGTGCCAGTGGCAGCTATAGATAGGCACGTTCGGAGCACTGTGCTGGTTTTTAACACGATCACAGTTGATATCATAACCCACTGAGCTGTTGTAGTCCTGCTACATATTTAAACTACACACACAAAGCAGTGACGCACAAAAGTAGTGTAGCAGTTGATATGTAGCTCAGTTGTGCTTTTGTTCTTGCTTCTCCCAATCTATGTAGCTCAGTCGTGCTTTTGTTCTTGCTTCTCCCAATCTTCCCTCTTCAATAAATGCAAATGATGACCTTTTCCTGACGTGTTAGTTGTGTGTTCGCTCCTCCTTAAGATCGGTCTGTCCTGACAAGACAAGCCACC